ATCTGGCGTCCTTGTTGGACCCGCATGAACAGCACAGTCCACCGGGCTCTAGAGAACGCATGCAAATCCATAAGACCCACTTGCAGGATGAGCGACACATCACAGTGGCCCAAGCAAGGCCAGCCAGGTCATCCTGCTTTCACTGCAGGCCACCATCTCGAGCTTGCAGGGAGACTCCATCTGGCGTCCTTGTTGGACCCGCATGAACAGCAGTCCACCGGGCTCTAGAGAACGCAAGCAAATCCAAAAGACCCACTTGCAGGATGAGCAAGACCAGCCAGGTCATCTTGCTTTCATCGTAGGCTCTTCGGGCAACAGTGTTATTGCCAGGGACTTTGTCGGATGTCCTGTCCCTTTGAGGTTTTGCTGTTCAACTCTTCAGACATGGAACCTGCCCAAACAAACTGGTCATCCAGGATACGGCCGTTTCAACCGCAGCTCGCCAATTTCTCTAATTTAAAAAAAAAAATAGCACCCCGCATTCGCTTTTCCGGCGACCAAGCAAACCCCGCTTTTGGTTTCCACATAAGCTCCTGAAAGTCTTTCGCATCTCCACCTCGATCGGGATGGAGCTCAATGCCGCCTTCAGGGATCAGGAAACGGGGGGGATGCATGGGGAGAACAAGTCTCAGCATCTAAAAATGGGGATCATGGGTGGCTTTGCTTGACGATCTTTGCTGGAATAGACCCCTTTTGATGGGCGTTCGGGGGCCGTGCCGCAACCCGAAAGAAGCGAGGGTGCTGACACGCCACAGCCGCCTGCAACCTGTACAGGAAAACAGCCACACTGGCGGTGCTCTGTCCCACATGGCTGTTGACACTATCATGAAGTTCCGTCATCTGGGTGTGGGTCAAAAACCTAATACCCGTTGTTGGGTCACCTTTTGCTTGATTTGAAAAGGGAATCTGGGGGGGTGCCAGGGTTTTGACCCATAGCCGTGTGTGTGTGCCAAACCCCGCCCGACTATCACGCAACACTCTCCCGGCAGCCTATAGACACGCTTGATCTCCTCCTGTGAGACATCTGGAGAGACCCCCAGCAGCACGTAGAGCTGCATGGCTGGGAGATGTGGCGCGCAAGCGCATCCTAGCGTTTGCAAGGTGCAATTGTTTTCCTCCAAATAAACCACCCGACTCTGGGGACGGGGATCTGTCTCTCCCACGCAGTTGTTGGGATTTAGGTGGCACAGGACCAATTTTATTGGGGAGGGGGGGGACTGTCATTTTGAGAGGCCTCGCTGCACACTCACGTTTGAGATGTTTTGTTTGGCAGTCCATTCAAGGGCAACCGTTGGGCATTTTGCGACCGCCATTTAGACAGGGTCGCGCTTAATCACATAGCACATGTCTCCTGCCAACTGCATGCCATGGATGCTCGACGTCAACACGAAATTTGCCAAGAGGCCGCAGGTCTTGGCACAAACGAACATCTCCGTCAACCCGCCATCAGCGCACGGGCAAAACCGGCAACAACTACCTTTCCTGGCGCCAAAGGCTGGTCTTGCATCGGCCCAATGCCAAAGATTGCAAGAGCTAGCTTCCTCAGCCACGTCACGTTGTGCTTCTGGCAATCGAGTGCCACAAGAAGAGTCAGGGGTAGTCTCCGCTGGGCTGGTAGGCTCCGCTGGGCTGCTTTGCTGAACTATTAACAAGCCCTCCAGTCAGATGGCTTTGAGCAGTCAATGGCAACGTCATACGTTTCACTGCACCGTCCTAGTTGAATGTTTGGAAAAGGGGGCCAACAGCTCGAAGATCCGAAGTAGCATCTTACACTACACAATTGTTTTTCCCTGTCTGACCAACTAAGGATACCAGTGTCAAGTTCATTCGCAATCCTGCCACGCGTTACGCATCGACAATCCTCCAGGATGCCTCCTAGTGCCCCCAAGCACCCAGCGCTCTATAGGGGGATTCCTGCGAGCTGGCTCCTGGCAGCTACAAGGGGTGGAGCAAGCAAGAGTCGCAAGTTGCTCTGCAAAGAACTTTGTCTCTCTCTAGAGCAAAATGCAAACACTAGCATGTGGCCAGGCTCGTAAAAAAATGTGGAAAGCAGTGCCTGAGCAAAAAAAGAAGCGCCTCTGTTCGTTATGTGGCGTCGCGCTGGTAGCGCAGAACTTGTCCTCGGTCCCAGCAGAATGCTGGCACCAGTAGAATGCAAGTTGACCATTTCAACCGCAAATCAAAGTGCCCAGCTCCTGACAAGCTGACAAGGCATGTTTCGATTGGCCCTGCTGAGCAGGACAAAGAGATCGAGCTTGATAACGAGATCCAAACTTGTCCGAGCTCCGCACATGGGCTGCGCAGAAGGTACCAGAAAGGCGCTGGCACCTGAGGTTGACAACTTTTGAAGCTGGACATTCAGAAGGCCAATAACGGGAAAGTGCATCATTGACAAACTAGTGCTTTCGTTTTGTTGCCTTCTGCCAACCGTTCAGCTTCAGAATCCACATGGTCCTCGTCTGTAGCAAGCATGTCTCAGCTTTGCGGTGATACCTAGCTTAGTTGGGCTTCTGCTTAAGCCAACCCTTAGGGCAAAACGAGGCGAGTGAGCGGTTTCAAGTGACTGGTGTCCGACTCGGGACTGAGCCAAGGCATGACGCCGCAGCCACTGCCAGCGCGAGTCTGGCCATGTCGCCTCCTGCGCGCGGGGTGGCGAAGGAATGGGAACGGGCCAGGAGTGGCCACATCTTGGTCCACAGATTTGTGTTGGTTCGCAAAGCCGATTGGCGCTACCCTCATGGGAGTGACTGATAAACCAGTGGGGTCTTGCTTGGATCTGCATTGCCTTGGTACATGGCATCCCTGCTTAACCCGTCCCGAGCGTCCACCAATAAGGTTCTTCCTAACATTCCCGATTCCTGTGGGCAGCTGTCAAAAGCTCCTGTCGTCTGCAGGGACAGAGAGGCGTGGCCCTTGAGCCAAGCTCAAAGGCTCACAGGCTGAAGCTGAGCTAATCGCAAGCTCTGGGCACCAATACTCAGGCGATCCTGCAACTCCCACTTCCGAACCCCCCCCTCCCCGCACCCCATGCCAAATCATATTGGGTGTGAATTTAAATAAGGGACCCTGTGGTGGACACCATTTAGGTGGGGATTCATGTCCACCACTTTGGAGGTGGTTCCTTGTCAAAATTCAATTCCAAATATGGTTCAAGCCGGAAAAGCCCTGTTTGCAGGGCTCCGGCTGGCAGTTCGCAGCAACCCAAGCTGCTCGTTCTCTCCTTTTTTGGCCGGTCCGTGAGCGCGCTGCTCGGTGACAAAGTGCAATCTGTGGGACGGCTGCGGCGCTTTGGGCATCCCTGTGGGCTTCTCGGAAGCCTTCGTACGCATCATCCCGCTGCCCTCACGTGACTGTCTGAGTACTTGGACCATTAGAATCTGCGGGTCATTCTGGCCAGTCAGACTGGGATGAAGCAAGCATGCAGCTGCAGCTCTGCGGCCCACTGGGGAAGACTCGCCTCAGCAAGTACTATGAGTCGTCCCCTTTTGGGCAATAATGACGGCTGCGCAATCAATGCATCTGTGCATCGGCCCACTGGGAACGCCCGCCAGTAAGCCACTGGAACCAACTGGGGCAAACAAGAACGCAGCCGCATAGGACAATATGGCTGCAGTACATTGACTCATTTTTGAAAAGATTGCACTGACACGATTTCAAAAAGCTAAGCACAAGGTCGGCAATGGAAGTCCAAGGAAGTTCGAGAGGCAACCGTGCTTGGCTTCTTCTTGACATTCAGCGGGCCCTGGCCTAGAGGGGCCAGTCCTATCTACGACGAGGATCTCATTGTCATGCGTGTAGAAGGCCTTTTGAGAGAGGAACCAACCAATGATGTTTGCTCTTGAAGGAAGCGCCCTGAAAGCGTGGGATAACACTTGACATTGTGATCCCAACGCGAGTTGTGTCGCGGAATCTCCAGCTTGGCCCTGCCACCAGGTGAGATGAAATCGGGCAAACGCGTGTCGTGCCACTTGGTGGCAGGCCGGTGAAATGGAACTTAGTTGCTCCACTTTTGTCATTTGCTTGCACAGGGCTGGCATGAGTCTTACACCTTGACTGAGAGCAGAGGAAGACGTTCACATCTCGCGAGCTTTGATTTTCTAGAGCCCTGGCAGAAAAGTTGGGTATTTTCCTATGAAGGCCGAGCCTTGCCAAAACCTCCGAGCGTAACGAGCCACGGAATCACTTGAAGAGAACCAAACGGCAATTTTGCTGGGTGTCCAGAAAGGGACTTCCAGTTGATCGATGTCGCAACGCCAAGTCTAGGCTCGAAGTTCGGGAATCGCGCAGCACAATAACCTCACTGAAACGCTCGTTTCAAAATCACGGCCGGCCGTGCAAGCTTCTGCACTGCCATAACACCTCGGCTTGTGACTGCCAACACGTGACTGCCACGGAAGCGACCGCGGGTACAAGGACGCCGCGGCCAGGCCTTCTAAGTCTGCCGCGTTTGCATGTGGGAGCCTGCGCGCAGCTCTTGGCCAGTGACTTGCACAGGACCCTCCAACGCCGCGCTGCGCGCTGGGTGGGGCCTCTGCTTTGCGAAGCTTCTCATGATACAGGACCTCAAATCAGCGAAGAGCACATGTACTGCCTTACGCGGAAAACCAACGCACAGGCACATGCTTTTAAAGTGGATATGCGTCAAAAATAAGGACCCGCCAAATGCTTGGTGTCATGTAGGTTCCTTTAGGATATGTCCACAAATCAGTCCCTCGTTTTGACACGCCAAGTAAAGCGTGGAGCACAAGGTAGGCTATCAGAACCAACCAGGCAGGCACGCCGGAAGACTTCGACATACGACACAAACTTCTAAGTGCAGCTGCGGTGCTGTCTCAGCTCCATAATGGGAGCGTTGACAGAATTGCTGCACCAAGGCATTTTCTGCCTTCATTGTATAGGGTTTCCTTTTGATGAACACTATGTGTACACACATACGTGTGTGTGTGTGTGTATGCATATATGTGTATAGATATATACATATATACACATATGCATGTGTTTGCCCATGATACTGAAAACCAAAAACAACTGGCAGAAAATACCTCTGGACTTCAGCAGTGGATGGTGTCGGCACCTGGCAGCGAACGCTCATACCTCAATTGAACGCGATACCCCAATCGAGGGAAGCACATACCGCCGGCATTGAAATTTTGGCAATGCTGAATTGCTCATCTCAAGTTTCCGAATGCTATGCTCTCCATCACGTGGGTGTGGGTCAAAATTTGGTACCCAAAATGGAACCCTGATAAATGGAGACAAGGACTGAAGCCTGCGTTCCCCGGGTGGTTTAATTTTGATCCATACCCATGTTGTGTCTCTGGCCTTTCAAAGTGCACGGGGTCGCGCTCGACGGGATCCTATCAGGCAGTTGTTGCACGTAAGAGCCTAATCGTGGCCAGGCAACAGACTGCGCCATATTGCGATTGCTTCGAAAGTTCATCGGAATGATGAGAAAGAATTGAAGAAGGGCCGCATCGTGTTCTGCAAATAAGAAGAAAATGTATGCTTGGCAGGCACGCCCCAATTCATATGGCACAGCAAACTGAGTCCATGGTGCCTGCCTCCTTGGGCGTATATATATATAATATGTGTGAACAAGAAACTCCCCTGAGTCGGCCTGCGTCTGTGCGGTCGTTCAGAGTGGTATCGCTAAGGTGAACCTGACCACGCGGAATGGCACCAGCTATGTTTTGCAGCCGTGTCTCCGCGCCTGCGGCGACCTCCTCTGCCTCAGCTTCGGGCCACACAAACATGGCTGTGGGTCAAAACCAATGGGATCCCATTTTGAGGTGGGTGAATTCACCACCCATTTTAGAACCTATTTTAGTGGGGATTGGGACGTTCACTGGGGGTACGATTTGGATTTTGACCCATGGCTACATCGGCTTTGGAAGTCTGCCCGTGCCCATTGTAAAAGAAGCTGGGACGGCAGCCCGCCCGAGTGTCCATCGCTGCCTGCCAAAGAAAGCATAGATTGCCAGCGCCAATGGCTGAACTTCGGGAATGCGCCAAACGTGTCCTATGGCAAGTTCCCTTGCTAGTTGGGTGTGTTTCGGAATTCCAGCCTCAGCAAGAGGAGAGGGTTCCGAAAAAAAAAACACCCATGCTCCCGGTTGCCTTGCATCGCGACACAAACGCACCTTTGGATGGTTGTAGTCGGTGTTCAAAGCCGCGCGAAGGGCCGTCGCCTCCAATGCGAACATCTACCCTCAGCATGTTTTGTTGGTTCCCTCGCTAGGCTTGTTTTACAGGGAAACCAAGCGAACATCACCTATTTTTGGGCGCCCTATTTACAAAGCCAATTAGTAACAGCACACTGGCTGCCCTGCGCTCTCTCCAGCCGCGACTGGAGTTTCTTTTTTTTGGTCAGCACCCTGATTTGCAACCCTGGAAAGCTACGTGGTTCGAAAGACTTGACTCAACACGTCCCAATGTTTGCCAGATTTCAAGTCCGCATCGCTGCCTGGGCAACCCATAGCAGACCATGTTGCAGGCAGAGTGGTTGAAACATAGTTGGTCCCAAGGTACATAATTTGGTTGGCCCCTCAGGCAGATCCACGGTGCCCCTGCTTCAAACGCACCGCTTGAAATGCGTCGTGTTTCGTGCCTTGGATGTTGCAAAAGACGCAGAGACTTGGCAACCGGCACCCCCCCCCCCCACCGGGCCCACCGCCCCCCCAACCTGGAAGCGCGAAGGTTCGCAGCTCGCGGAGGTCGTTCCTGAGGCGCTCTCCAAGGGGCCGCTTTCAACCATCCGAATGACAAATCGATCTGTGGGATTGGTCTGACCGAGACATCGTACCTATCGGAAGGAAACCCTTGGGCAGCTGCGAGTCCCGGAGGTCTCGATATGTGCTGGGAGAGGGCCGGCCTGAACGAATGTGAGCACCCGCCTTTGTCTGCCTGCCGCCTAAAGTGGATACAAAAGAGCCTTTTCACCCCTCAGAGGCGCGGATGGACGAAATCCTGCACCTACAAAACCTTGCAGTGATGATTCCCCTGTAAATTCCTATAAACGCTATGGTTCAACCATGGTGTCATTTTGTGGTGCGAACGGACAGCCGAGGCCCCGCACCGTAAGCCCGCGGGCCGCGCTCGCTGGAGGTCTGGGAGCCATCCGAGCGGGCCTCGACAGGGACCGGCCTTGGGAATACCACAATCCGATGGCACAAACTTGCTGGTGCGCAGTAGGGAGTGAGCCCAGGGGTCCACTTAAATGAAAGCACAAGAAATAATTTTTATGGGTCATTTCCTCATTCCCTGTGAGGGCACACCGAAAAAAGATGCGGTTCAAGGTGTGCCACTTCCCATTGGCCTCATGCAAACACAGCCAACGCGCGACGAGGGAAAGTGTGGCGACAGTGTCTAGATGGACAAATGCTTGGGCTGGTGGTCACCTGTGCGTTTTTCTGCCATAAACCCTTTTCTGGTCCAAAGGCGTAGTTTTTTTGCGAAGCTTGCGATCCCAGCCTGGCCAGGAAGAACAGGCTTGCTGGGGTTTTCCCGGCAAACCCGCTCATGGGAGCCCCAAAACGGAAGGCGGTTCCTCAGCTGGGCGCTGGCTGCGGAACAAGAATGGGCCGAGGCCGAGACGAGCTTTTGTGCTGACCCTTCTTTGTGACGCACCTGGGCTGAGAAGCAGCAGACCAAAGAGCCTGCATAAACGTCTGAGTGCCCCACGGCCTGCAGCACCAATAGCAAGGAACGATCTCATCAGCTGTATATGCCACGGAGAGCTTGTCGAAATGGTGCTCATGCATGTGAAGCCTGCAGGGCAAATGCTTTGAAGCGAAACCCACCATATCTCTGTTGAGAGCCAATCTAACCAAAACCAGTGGGGGGAACTGGGGGGCCTCTCATACAGAGATGCGCAAGTGCAGGCTACGCATGTATCAAAAGTAGGCACCCCCTCCGAGTGGCTGGGTTCGTGTTGTTTTCCGTTTTAAGCACGAGCCGAAAAGGGATCTCTATTGACATACCCATGTGCCCCCACTTGCCCTCAGAACCCCCACCTCCACTTCTCAAAGCATCCAAGCACTCGGTTCTCCGCTTCGCCTGTCCAAGCAGTCCAAGCTTCAACTCCAACCTTTTAGTTGGGAGCCGTCCGCAAGGCTTGCAGGACCAAACAAGAAAGGGAGCGGCAGCCGCCATTGCAAACGTTCGCTCAAGCCGCCTTGCTGGTTCATGCCCCAGCCTCAGACTGCCAGACTGCCAGACTGCCAGCGATTCGATTCGATCCGGCCGGAACGTTTTGTGCTATCTTGACGTCAGCATCTTGCCAATTTGTGTCGGCCACTGATCTCCCTCACCTGTCACTCAGTGTGCTGGGTGCCGCATACAAATGATAAAGGCGAAACTCATCCAGGGCTCCTGCCGCGGCAAAACAGACCTCTGAGCTTCCGGCACCACGGGCACCAACAAACCTTGGGCGTAGCAGGAATCCCTGGATAAACATCCAAATTTCAGCTGCTCAAGACAGGCCGTCCCTCGTGTTTGTGTCATTTCGATGTGTCGAATTCCCAGGATCCAGGCCTCGTTTGGCCCAGGCGTGGACGAAGGCAGGGATGTCTTGTCAGAGTCCTAAGCGGTTTAGGGCCGGTTTAGGGGTGGTTGAAAGCTTAGTTTCAAGGTTTGGGTGTGTTTACCGTAAGGATTAAGGATTGGTTTCGGGTTGGGTCAAAGGTTGGTTCAAGGTTTGGTTTAGTGTGGGTTGGAGTGGCTGTGCATTCCGTGCATGTCCACGACAACGCAGTGTGGCCGCCAGGGCTGGTTTGGTGTGGGTCTGGTGGGTTTGTGGGTTTTGCGTGGGTTTGACGTTGGTTAGGGGTGGTTGGTGGGTTTAAGGGTGGCTCTAGGGAGCATTTAGGATTGGTTTAGGGTTGGTTTAGGGCCAGTTCGGGTAAGTTTAGGATGAGTTTAAAGGCTGGTTTAAAGGTTGGTTTAGGGCCGACTTGAGGTATTTCTCGGAAGGTTCTGGTGGGTTTGAGCTGCATTTTAGGCTGGGTTTAGGGCGGGTTTAGGTTTGGTTTAGGGCCTAAGGGGCCCCAACTTTCAAGTCTCGAGCTTCGAGTCTCGAGCTTTGAGCTTCGAATCTGAAGGCTCGAGATTCGACCGTTGTCAAGCTAATAATATATATATATATATATATACGTACATATGTGTATATATATATATAACTGCTGGCACAAAACTGTTCGGGTAGTATCCCAAACGTACATCCTGCGCGGATCACATGACAACAGTCCTAAATTCCACGCAACATGTCATGCGGACAAGCGGAAGAGCAAACCTAGCAGCCAATCATATTGCTTCCTGCTGTGCCACAAACAGCCTGCTTCTATCTGTCGACCGGTCTGAAAAGGCAAGCAAAATTAATCCGAGCACGCTGTCTTTTAATGAGTGGTAACGCTCCTCGCATTGCCCTTCGACTTTTTGTTCGTGCGCACCTACTGTTTCTCAAGCTAGCCCGGTGTCTCACATATCACTTCCATGGGCTTGTCACATGCCCAGCCGAGGCGAGCACATCCTTCCCGCCCTCCATGTGCCTGCGAGATCCAAAGGCTGGCACTTGATACCTGATGTGCCTTCACTCGAATTCGGAGGGACTCCCGGCCTCCCACTTGCTTTGAGCTCCTCTTCAAGTCTCCTCCGCGGCCTAACAAATCAAACAGATCACACAGCCCGCCGCTCAAAATCCGATCCTGGCGGGGAAGACGTCGTCATCTGGCATGTTGCCGCTTGTGAAGCTGCCATTTGGGAAGCCATGCTTGGTGCCATTGGGGAGGCCATTAACCATTCCGTTCTGGAAGCTGCCGTTGGTGATGCCATGGTCTGGCATCCTTAGCAACGCAGTCAGGATTCCAAGGGCCGTCCAGTGTGGCAGGATTTCCGCATTTTTACGCCACTGGCATATTGCCAACCAAACACAAATATGCGCAAGTGTCATTTTTACATTGGCCGGCCTTTTCCGAATCCCAAGATGCCAATTGACGCCACACTGAGGCGAGCACAGAGGCTTTGGCGGCTCGGCACTTGCCTGCGTGTTTTCTGGCTTTGAAAGGGGAGACGTGTCCAATGGTGCCATCAAGGCCACAATCTTCAAACCTCTGCAAGACAGTGCGAAATCCCAACCTGAACAGGATTCGGCGCAAAGTTCATTGGCCTCAGCCAGTGAAGCGGAGACAGGCAAGAATTCAGAATGGGCGCAAGGTGAAGCCTTGCGCATGAAAAAGCGTGCATTCAAAGCGATATATATATATATAATGTGTGTGTGTGTGGTCATGTCTGTGTGTGTGCGCACATGCGCTTGCTTGTACACCCGCACATGGGAGGGGTGTGATCAAAAACTCCTTAACATGGCATGGGATGACCATTGGGGGGGAAAACCGGAATTAGTTGCCCCATGGTCATTTGGGGGCGCGTATGTGCGTGGACATGGGTGGGCGTGCGTGCGGACACTCGTGCGTGCTTGCATGAATGGGGGAGCAATGGAGCATGAATGGGGTATGCGTTTAGGCGTACATGCGCGCGTGTACTCTTGCGCTCGTGCAGGCGTGCGCACACGCGTTCGCACGTGCTTGTACCTGTGCATGTGCGTGTGGAGGCAAGCGCGCATGCAAAGGTGCTGGGTATGTGTGTGTGTGTGTGTGTGCGCGCTCGTGTGCGTGCTTAAATGTGTGTATATGCATTTTTGTAGTTGCATTCCGGCTTTTGCTTGTGCGTTTGCACCATTCAAGTCCTGGAAGTGAAAACACCAAGCCATGTGTCTGACTCGCTTGTTGAGGAACTGGGGCTCAAACGTAGGGCCTACGGCCGCATCCACCTTGCAGTGGCGAGCCATGGGCTGCCGAAACTGATGTCAGCAGAACCGAAATTATCTCTCCAGAAAAGTTACATGGAACTCCAGGAAAGCTAGCTAGTTTTTCAAACACCAATGAATGAATGTATGCTTGGAGGACTCATGCTGTGCCTCTGATTGCGAGCCCCCATGTTTGTCATGCATGTAAGTCTTGAAATGTGCCTAGAAGCCCTTACGAGGGTTTTGATGGTCATCCCTACTGGGGACTTGTGAGTTTGCCAAATCTTGCAACCAAGCCAAGAATAAATTTTGGTACAGAACGGAAACGCCCTCCCATATCTGCACGATTTGGGGGAGCCAACTGTTGGATTTCCCAACTGAAAAGATCGACGGCTTGACCCCAAGTCCCGAGGTTCCGGCTCTGGAAAGGTCCACCACCAAGCATGTGCAGTTGTCGTCGCTCCGCCGTGCAACAGCCTGGGAGACAAGCATTGCAGAACCGGCTATGAATCTTCGGCGAGATCCTTACTTGGAAAGTCATGCGTCCCAAGGATTACAAATTTCAGTCTTCGAACGCGGCAAGCTCGAAGCGCCTTGCCTTGCTGGTCTACTAACATCCTGCATCAAGGAATGATAATCATCCCTCTTTATGTCTACACAATGTCAATTCCCCCCCCCCCCCCCGCCCGATCAACAACACCACACACACAAACACAAGTTATTCATAATGGGGGCTTCCCCAAAAAGAAAGGAATCCCTAAATAGTATGCCGCCGATTCACTGGAGTCATTCAGGGGACATGGGTGTCTTAAAAAAGGGAATTTAAAAAATGGTTAGCGGCCCACAAGACCAACCCGCCGTTTTCGCCCGGGTGCCCCGGCAGAACAAACCACGGCATGCCCCACGCTGGACAGCGGAGCTCCCACTGGCAGCTGAGAAGCGCTGGAGACGCACCTTTGGCGTTCTGCGAATCGCAACTCAGCTAAAGTCATGGCACGGAAGAAATGGCTCCCAGTTCCAAGACGTTTGAGGATGTTTCACACAACAATTCGCCCGGGCATCCCTTCCAGGCTCGCGAATGACTACTCGCTGCCAAGCCCGAGCTCCGGCACATGGAGACCACCTCCTGTGACGACCTGGCAGCACATTCGCCAGGTGTCAACTTGGCAATCAGCTCACGCTGCTCACGGGAAGCCGCGTCTCTGAAGGAAGGGCAGGCCCACATGAAGCCGAAAACGCCGTCCGAGGCCAGCAGAAGAAAGCGCTGGCTAGGGCGGCGCCTGAGCCCGGGCTCAGAGGGCTTAGACATATCCCATTTCCAGTTCTCCAGATGTGGTTAGGTTCAGCAATTGCTTGTTGGCAAAGCAGGATGGTGTGCCGATGTGCGAGCACAATCGGCCAACATTAGTCACCAACCTGCTCCCGGCTATGCAAACTCCTTCCATGCGCCCCCGCCCATATCACACGCGGCCATATGTCTTGCCTCTATGCACCGACCTTTGATGCTCGTTGCTAGCCTTGCCTCAACGGAACTAGCCAAATCCTGCTTGCCCCGCACACATCGCTTGCCAAGCATCCTCTGCTATGCGAGGCCGTGGGTACACACACATCCTCTTTTGCTTGAAGTTTGATGTGTGTGTTCGAATTGTGTGGCTGACCCTTGAAAGCCGCATTCGCGGTTTGTATGAATGCCCATTATCCGCAGTTATGGCCAGGGGCGCAAAGGACACATGATCAGCCAGGGAGCAATATCTAATTCGACCTTGCACTGTCCCTCTGCTGTTGGCTTGCACATTGTCTATCTACTCGGCTTGATCTTGGCTCCCTGCGCTATTGCCCGCAGCTCTGGCAGTGCAGTGATGATGTGGCCCTCTGGGGGTCCCTGCAATGCAGTCCATCCGCCCACCACTCTTGCGTGGCAAATTCTCGCATAATTCACCAGACTTAAAGTTGTAATTCTTGAAGCACCGCGCCAGTTGTCACTTGGCCAATTGCACGCTTCTGTCGCACAATGTCGCAGTCATCCAGCAGGCATGCAGGGCTCAAACTGGCCCCTTCGGCCTGTGCCTTTGCCCAATGGTCTCCGAAGGAACGTGTGGTTGCCTGGGGAACGCGCCACCTACTTGCAAGCTCGGGAAGGAGCTAAGGCCAAGTTCTGAGACCCGCACCAGGCGCCCAGGCGCGTTGGGAGTTGTGACCCGCTGATCTGGGGTGATCGTACCTAGAACATGCTGTGGCCTCAAGTGTTGTGAATGCCCCTGGATTTTCCGGCTTGGGTTCGACACAGCGATTGTCTGCTGCCAAGGTTTGGCTGTTGAACGCCGTTGACGGGCTCCCGTGAACGGATTCGAGATGGCTGGCCTCCTGCTGCCAGCACTCGCCGGAGCTCCTGCACAAGGGCGCCAAAGCGGATCCACAAGGCCCATGCCAGTCTGTCCACAGCTTCCCAGCCAGATAGAATCGGAACTAGTTTGCTTAGTTGTTGGCCAACATGACCAACCCACAGCTCAGGTCTGAGAAACGGAGCCTGGCCTCTGGCGTCGCGTTCTGGACGTTGTGGTCCGAGGACAAGTCCTGTGCAATGCCCTGGTCCTCGCACACGCAGCGGCAGTCACCGCAGTTCGCGACGACGATGCTGGTTGGAGTGACCTGAGTCGCGAAAGCGACCCAATGCAAGACACGGATGCACCAACATGTTTGGGAAGTGTCTGCAAACAGGTAGACGAACTGCAAGAGAATCCAATAGCTGGGCACAAGCGATGTCAACATCGGAGGAATCTGGAGGGCCATATCAATAAGGGATGTCTCCCCCCTTTAGTGGGGAAGGGTTTGGATTCCAGATGATTCCGATGCAAGTTTGGCATTAAAATCCCAAGCAAAACATTCTCTCAGCAGCACGCGCAGGCCGCAGTGGCACACGCGCCCGACGCCCAAAGTGGCAGCCCTGCCATGACAAATCTTGTGCACTAGCTTGCACTCCAAGCTAGTTGCATCCATGCAATCCAGCGACTCATCGACTCCCGTTGCTTGGTTTCCTTGTTGAGTCACATCACACCCGCTCGCACGTCGAAAACCCAGCGCCTGCAGACTGTTGCAGCAGCTCCGTCTGCAGGAACGCTTCCAGGAGCGCAGCCTCCAGGCGGCCTCCCGGGCGCGAAAGGGCGCTTGGAGGAGCTGCGGGTTTCTCTCACAAGAATCCCGAGCCTCACTCAGCCGTCTCACTCGTTAACTAGGAAACCAGGCGGCTGTGACGCAAAGTCTGGTCGATGGCTCTTTTCAAGGCTCATGAGAAGCGGCAAGACGCCTCAAAATCGGCGCATCTTACCACTCACACCTTGTCTTGAGATACTGGAGCTTGCCGAATTCTAAGTTCGCGAGGGTCAGTCCAGGCATCGGTCATTCCATTTCCTCTCGTATATCCGAGGCCGAACAATTTCTGGTGCTCCAAAACTTGATGTTGCCGTTTCAACACTACGAGGCATTGCCCCCACAAAGTTTGCTGCACCCGAAGTCTCCGCCTTCTGCAAAGTGCCTGGATTGCGCCAGCTGCGTCGGGAGGTGCCGGCCTTGACAGGCATATCATATCTACAAGACTTCGCTCATATGTGATGCTGTGGGTCAACCATGATGGCTGGCAAAGCAAACAGTGGCTAACACCTGATGTTGAGCCAAATGCACTCCGCACGACCGTAAAATGCGCCTGGTGACTCAGGACCGAACTTGTATGAATATCGACAAGGCGGAAGCTTGAGCTTGCCAAGAAATCAACGGTCAGCCGGCTGGACGCTCGGAAATCCAAGTCCCCCGACGAACAAAGGCTGCGCATACCTCTCCGCACTCGCCATGGCCATCCACGACACCTGGAAGCGTGCCACGGAACGCGGGGAAGAGACGTGCACGGCGAAAAAGACGCAGCCCCTTCGGCCGCCCGAGGCTTGCACCGTACAAGGCCACACGCTCCGTGCCCAGGCGCACGCCGAAGGTGACGCACATGTCCTCCACGACGAAGTAGGAGTCCTCGCGTGGCTCATCGCATCTCTGGCCTTGAGGACGGGTCTGGGATGCCTCGGAGACAGAGCCTGGTGAGATCCTGAGCCCTACGTATTGCCAAGACTGAACTGGATCCAGGTTTGGGATTCACACGCTCACGCATGCCTGAGCATTATCAATCGCGGCGTATCAAGTTGCAAGCCCAACAACCCAAGAGAACAGCATCGGCAACGACATGACTCTCGGATAGTCCTGCTGCTTGACATTTTTGGGAAAGTTCCGGTTCTGGAACTGGGCCTCAGAAAAATGGCGTTGGAATGGTATCAGTCCCCAGCGATCTGTTTCAGCATGAGCTGCGGGCAACGCCGCAGGTGGCAAAATCCTCACATGGCACAGGTTCCTGTCAGGTGTCGAGGCTTCGCTTCGCAGCTGGCAATGCACATAAACCTCGCTTTGGGACTCGACGCACGCCTCTGGTGCCATGGGCCTATCATCAGTCCTGGGCAATCCCAGTGGGGCAAACTACAACGCAGCCTGCAATGCCTCAGACTGTGAGCCCTTTCTCAAGTCCTGCTCAGCGCGGTGGGCACTAGCTTCTGCCCACATGGCTGGGGGTCGTTTTCTGAGCCAAAGCAGGCAGCACATCACACGTCTGATTTGGCCCACAAGGTCCAGACTTGCAAAGGCGCCTCGGGAAATCTGCCTCGGTGTCGCCTCTCCTAATCGTCGATACAAGATTCCACGCAGGTCTTCGCACATCGGGCTTCATGATCGGTATATGATCTTGAGACCGGACTTGGCGTGAGCCAGTTCCTTTAGACTGCAAAGCGATGTCTCACCAGGAGAGCCATTCTGGCCACCGATATCTGTCAAGCGTCCAGCTTTGGGATTTCGAGACAAATCTTGGGCCACCAGTTTACGAGAGAGCCCTTCCTTGGCCAAGGATCAGCGCCCTTGACTGGATTGCTCCAGCTCACGGCCCCCGCTCAACTGTCATGTCAGCCTCAGCCACTGCTTCCACTGCACTGTCTTGTGCATCAGCCGCCTGACAAAGTTCGGCGAAAGAAAGGACTGCTGATTCTATGCAAACTGCACTTGAGCTACAGTCAAGATTGCTGTGACCCGCAATGGCTGTGGCAAAGCTAGTGAGTCCGCCGATGTTTGCCGGATATTGGCTGCGTCCCGAATGTTCCCCTAAATGGGCGATAGACTGCTGGCATGCTGCCTTGCAATTGCTCCCTTCGTGATCATGTATTAGATGCTTTTGACTTGAATGCTTTTCGTGGTGTGCCACGGCTAAAACTCAATGGATGATCTACAATGGAAAAAAGCTTCTAATTATTCACCACTGGCTGCGCTCATGTTGGCACTGGGTGCCAGCAGGTCGCCTCAGCCGCTGCTTCCCCTGCGCTGTCTGCTGCATGAACCGCCTGGCAAAGTTCGGTCCAGCAACTGCGCGTAAGACACGATCACAAAAATGTATTGTTGCCCGCAAAGGCCTGGGGAAACATGAGTAAGTCCCCATTTTGGGCAGTGGTGCGTTGCCTTGTAATTGCTTCCTTCGTGATCATGTGAAGGATGCTCTGCCTCATGTAGTTTTGGGACGTCTGAACGCTTAATGAAAAACTTTCAAATCTCAACCAGCGAATGCCGATTTACAATGAACAAGACTTTCTACCCACTAACAAATGGATATGCCCAGGTGTGTTTGTTCAAAGTATGCTCAGCCACATACTCAAGTGTTGGCAGAAGCGGCGTGCCAGCCTCAGCCACTGCTTCCACTGCACTGTCTTGTGCATCAGCCGCCTGACAAAGTTCGGCGAAAGAAAGGCCTGCTGATTCTATGCAAACTGCACTTGAGCTACAGTCAAGATTGCTGTGACCCGCAATGGCTGTGGCAAAGCTAGTGAGTCCGCCGATGTTTGCCGGATATTGGCTGCGTCCCGAATGTTCCCCTAAATGGGCGATAGACTGCTGGCATGCTGCCTTGCAATTGCTCCCTTCGTGATCATGTATTAGATGCTTTTGACTTGAATGCTTTTCGTGGTGTGCCACGGCTAAAACTCAATGGATGATCTACAATGGAAAAAAGCTTCTAATTATTCACCACTGGCTGCGCTCATGTTGGCACTGGGTGCCAGCAGGTCGCCTCAGCCGCTGCTTCCCCTGCGCTGTCTGCTGCATGAACCGCCTGGCAAAGTTCGGTCCAGCAACTGCGCGTAAGACACGATCACAAAAATGTATTGTTGCCCGCAAAGGCCTGGGGAAACATGAGTAAGTCCCCATTTTGGGCAGGATATTTGGTGATTCCCTAATCCCTCTACAGTAAATGGACCGCAAACGACAATGAGATGGTCCTGGTGCGTTGCCTTGTAATTGTTTCCTTCGTGATCATGTGAAGGATGCTCTGCCTCATGTGGTTTTGGGACGTCTCAACGCTTAATGAAAGACTTTCACTTCTCAACCAGCGAATGCCGATCTACAATGAACAAGACTTCTACCAATTAACAAATGGATATGCCCAGGTTTGTTTGTTCAAAGTATGCTCCGCCACATACTCAAGTATTGGCAGAAGCGGCGTGCCAGCCTCAGCTACTGCTTCCACTGGACTGTCTGGTGCATCAGCCGCCTGACACAGTTCGGCGAAAGAAAGGCCTGCTGATTCTACGCACACTGCACTTGAGCTACAGTCAAGATTGCTGTGACCCGCAATGGCTGTGGGAAAGCTAGTGACTGCGCCGATGTTTGCCGGATATTGGCTGCGTCCCGAATGTTCCCCTAAATGGGCGATAGACTGCTGGCATGCTGCCTTGCAATTGCTCCCTTCGTGATCATGTATTAGATGCTTTTGACTTGAATGCTTTTCGTGGTGTGCCACGGCTAAAACTCAATGGATGATCTACAATGGAAAAAAGCTTCTAATTATTCACCACTGGCTGCGCTCATGTTGGCACTGGGTGCCAGCAGGTCGCCTCAGCCGCTGCTTCCCCTGCGCTGTCTGCTGCATGAACCGCCTGGCAAAGTTCGGTCCAGCAACTGCGCGTAAGACACGATCACAAAAATGTATTGTTGCCCGCAAAGGCCTGGGGAAACATGAGTAAGTCCCCATTTTGGGCAGGATATTTGGTGATTCCCTAATCCCTCTACAGTAAATGGACCGCAAACGACAATGAGATGGTCCTGGTGCGTTGCCTTGTAATTGTTTCCTTCGTGATCATGTGAAGGATGCTCTGCCTCATGTGGTTTTGGGACGTCTCAACGCTTAATGAAAGACTTTCACTTCTCAACCAGCGAATGCCGATCTACAATGAACAAGACTTCTACCAATTAACAAATGGATATGCCCAGGTTTGTTTGTTCAAAGTATGCTCAGCCACATACTCAAGTGTTGGCAGAAGCGGCGTGCCAGCCTCAGCTACTGCTTCCACTGGACTGTCTGGTGCATCAGCCGCCTGACACAGTTCGGCGAAAGAAAGGCCTGCTGATTCTACGCACACTGCACTTGAGCTACAGTCAAGATTGCTGTGACCCGCAATGGCTGTGGCAAAGCTAGTGAGTCCGCCGATGTTTGCCGGATATTGGCTGCGTCCCGAATGTTCCCCTAAATGGGCGATAGACTGCTGGCATGCTGCCTTGCAATTGCTCCCTTCGTGATCATGTATTAGATGCTTTTGACTTGAATGCTTTTCGTGGTGTGCCACGGCTAAAACTCAATGGATGATCTACAATGGAAAAAAGCTTCTAATTATTCACCACTGGCTGCGCTCATGTTGGCACTGGGTGCCAGCAGGTCGCCTCAGCCGCTGCTTCCCCTGCGCTGTCTGCTGCATGAACCGCCTGGCAAAGTTCGGTCCAGCAACTGCGCGTAAGACACGATCACAAAAATGTATTGTTGCCCGCAAAGGCCTGGGGAAACATGAGTAAGTCCCCATTTTGGGCAGGATATTTGGTGATTCCCTAATCCCTCTACAGTAAATGGACCAACAACTACATGAAGCCAAACTATGAGTACCAGCTTGGGATTGTGTGGCAAATAGGCAGAAGCAACATAGTTTCTATAGCCTTGCAGTCCTTCCATTGATTTCTAGTCTTGCAGTTGTCCCTGATAATTGTGTAGTTCGCGGTTCTCCCACAGACTTTGCAATGACTCAACAAAGAAAAGTAGGCATGCACGCCTTGGTGTGGGCTACTTCAGTGGCGCTTGGATTGAAGCCTTCGGGCATGCGTTGCCACCTTGATGGCCGGCACAGAACATGGCATGTGCCAAGGCAGTCTCTGGTCAGAGGTTCGATGCTCAAGGCCATGTTCCATGCGCAGCTCGGCACGCGGAAGCCTTCTAGTTTTTGCCTGTTGCTACCAGTGCGGCTCACCAAAGGTGGACATCGCCATGGTCATGGCAAGTGCAACATGTGAAGAGTCCGTCAATGGCTTTAACTCTGAGCCTAGTTACAATTGTACGGCGGGCCAGGGCCCAATGCAATGAAGTCCGATTTGTTTCAATCCCTGTGCCAAACCAAAAACTGGGGCCAATTCCACGTCAAGGATCAAGACAAACATCCACGTCTTCCTAGCCCAACATCTTGCCTTTGGCCGAATCCCGAATGCGGTTCGAAGGGGAGGAATGTCAGCAGTTTGCTTCACTCCGAATCTTTGCCTAGTGAGACAAAGCCAAGGTTTGCCTGCCTGCCGGGGCCCTTCCTATTTTGATTTTTCCTTTCACCCCTGGCCCTTGCTCATGGCTCGCATGCTTGCCCGGGCCTCGGCTGAGTCCGGCTTTGCCCCTGGCCCATCTGCCAACTCCTTGCAACACTATGAGGCATCCACCCGATGGTGCCGGGAAACCTATAAGAGAATCACCACGGTTGCCCACAAATTGGTCGGGCCCCAGGCAACAAGTGGCAAACAATTGGCCGCAACATTGTCTAAGTAGGGGCGTCTTCAAATGGCATCCTCTTTCGCCAGAGACGAAAGTCTCAGTTTGTTGTCTGCGGATCAACTCCTCCTCGGCCACCGCCTCCATTACATCCTGGGCCTGTCTGATCCCTCTCCAGAAGCACCACACAAATTCGGCCTTTTGAGACAGGTCAAAACTTATTGTGTGGACGACAGCAACGCTTGCTTTTCTCTTCTAAAGCAACTGTCTAACGCCGGAGTTTATATGAGCCCCGAAGAATCAGGTCACTTGGCGTTCAACCACAGACTGGAGCGAACCCCACTGCATCCAGCAGAGCCAGTAAAGTGTCAAGATGTGCGTTTGTTGAAAGTGCTGAATGGTCCAATCCATGTCTTGTTACGTGCTTGTCGGTTGCTAGTGACTCTGCTTCACTGCATCCCACCTCATCCTCCACCGGCTTGGGCGCGCCATGCACATTCAGCCAACCATCGGAAGGCTCCTGCGATGGACATCAGGCTCAACATGAGCCACGATCAGTGTTGGTTCAATGACATGAATTGCCGGTGAACCTGCAAGGACGAGCTCTGATGACAGGTCAGCCTACTAAGGACCGACGTCCTCCTGTGCCTTGCGGCCATATCCACATATATCATTTCGTCGAACATCTAACGTCTTTTGCCCATGCGCCTGATCTGGCAAGTAGAAGGGCCGTGGCCTGAAAGACAGGCCAATGGCTGGCAACGGGCGCACTGCACCAGGCAGCCCGACGTGAGGCATTCCAGGCGTGCAAGGCCTTGAGCGCATGCCACGCACAAAGAAACGAGCCGTGAGGCTTGGCTTTGCCTTCCGTGGCTTTCAGAGGGAGCCTCCAACCCTCCGTGCCACCTGGGGCCTGGACCTCTGCAGGGCGAAGCTGGAAGGCCAGTGGCCTCTTTGGGCTCTGGCCCCGACACCTGGCGCGCAAAACTTGTCGAAGCCCCAGGAAACCGTCAGGAAGGCTCCTAAGTCTTCTCACTGCACATGGATTTGTGCAATGGCAAAGATGGTTCTGGAATTGATTCCAACCACGCAAAGGCAAGAATCCTGCTGAACCTAGTGTGTCAACTCTGCATGAGCCTTCGAAATGGGTGTCTCTCAAAATAGGGGTCACTAAGACTGCTGGCTTCCCTTTGGTTTCCCTTTCAGTATTAAAGCGGGGTCCGCCATCCAAAGGATGCGTTCCATCGGACTGCCTCCAGCAGTTCCGCCACCAGCTGCGCCACATCCGCGGCGCCCCGCTGTGCCGCGCGGCCTCCAGCAGCACAGCGCTGGGCGGAGGCAAAGGAAACATGGGTCACGTGGGTATCGAAATAGCGGGCACCCAAAAAGACACCCAACATGGACGCCCCGAAAAGGAGCTGCTTCTGGTTTCCCTTTAAACCAACCTGAAAAGGTGACCCTCAAGTCAAACACAAAAGCGCATGGGAAAGCACTGCTTTCAGCAGTGTCACGCGCCAAAGTGTAAGCGTCCACATATGTGGAGAGTCTGCGCTGAGGCGCAGGCCATCAGCAAAAGCCTTGTGAATGGCATCGTCCACTTCCGTCCAGGTCTCAGCCACACGCCGCACGCCGCCCGTGGCGATGCTCGGGTCCCTCGAATCGACCAAATCCAAAGCACATCCCCATGGATCAAGCCATATTTCGCCGACTGGCACACGTGCGAAGCAGGTGGCGCCCTTGCTGTGCATTGGAACGCTGTCCTTACAGCAGAAATCCTTAGAAATTCCGCCTCAGGGCAACGAGGGGCCATGGATCAGAGATTCAACCCAAGAGGCCTTAGGCTGATCCATGTTGCTGGGGAGGGCACCCTGCGCTGTTGACTTTGCCGCTGCAGTGTCGGCTGCCAGGCTGTCAGTGGATGGCAGAGTCCCCAGGCAGGGTGAAGCTGTGACTTTGCACAAGAAAACATGCAGTCGAGATTCCGCAAAGCGCTGCACGCTGTTCCGAACAGGGGGACTCACCTGTTTGGCTCAAGTTCTCTATGAAATCGCAGCGATTTGCAGGGTCCGGCGACTTCCGGTGTTTTTCGGAGCCTGCGAGGTTGACCTGTGCACGCCTCTGTGGTGTGGCCACCACCACACTGCGGATCAGCTCAAAAAGCTTACCTAACGACACATCCCAAAACATCTCAGCTGCACCAAAAGTAAAATCAAGCTACACCTGACCGCGTGACAATCTGCGTGTCATGGCGAAACGCCAGTGCAGGCACGCCACTTAGGGCCAACCCCGGGTCAAAGGTTTTCAGCCAACCCTTTAAGCAGGGCTCGTGCGAACACACCACGGAAATGAGCATATTACACAGCGGGAGCGGCTTGTCAAGGCTGGGAACAAGGCGGAGTCACTGCGTGTTTCATAGATCAAACCACCTACTTGTGAGCAAGGCACGCTACATGCAATCTTGACGCATGGCAACATGTATGAATGTTATGGCTCCTGCGCGCGTCTCTACACAAAAAACAATAGTAGGATCTGGCAAGAACGCAATATGGGTTGCTCAGGTCACCCAAGCACGCGGACTTGTTTAACCCCGCGAAATGGTTCATCAATCGCGTGCCTGCGTTAGTCGGCGTGTTACTCAACAATGAGATTCGTGCTGCTGCGAAATGAATCCGTTTTCAAAATTGTGAAAACACGGTTCACTAAAACCTCCATGGCAACTCCAGGAGTTTGCCCACCAGCTCGTAAGCTGCCCAATGCTTGGGCCAGGTCTTGCCCGCCTTCTCTTTGTCAGTGATTTTCTTCTTGGCATAGGTGGCCAACCTCCTTCTCCGGCACACGACGCAGCATCTCTCTGGCTCCATCTTTAGCTCCAAGCAAAACTGGCACCGCACCAGACGCGCAGCACTCGAGCCACGTCTCCATAGCCGGCGAATCCGCTGTGATCCATGAGTAATCTGTTCCACCAGGTGGTGCGTTACGCCACGCAATCCCTCACACAAGCACGCGATTTCCCCTGGACGCGCGAGATCAGATCAACAACGCAACCCACCCGCAAGCTCCCTCCTAGACTTACAGTTTGTCGCGCAAGCGCTTGCGGTGCCTCAACCCAAGCCTTTTCAGCGGGCGGTTCCTCCACCATGCCCATGCGGTAGAACAGCCTCGTGTCTCGAGCCAGCCACTCTCCACAAGGGCCGCATTCCTTGACCACTTTGGCGCTCGCGTTCACGCACATCTGTCTCACAGCTGCTGTGGGCCAGCCTAATCAATCGGAATGGCTCCGGATGCCTGGGCCCTTTCAAACCTAGCAGCTCGAAGTCTGCCGAGCAGTTAGAGACGCCAAAATCGCGCGACTGGAGACCTGACCGACCTTACCGTCAAGCTGCGTCCGTTCACCGAGAAAGTCGATCAAGGGAGTGGCCAGCTTGACGCGCCGTGCGATCGGCGGGAGCTCAACGTGCAGAGAATAAGAACAAGTGAGACTGCGCGCGCGTGGCCGGGGCTGAGATGAGAATGGTCTTTGACAGCCGTAGCTGACACTGCATGCTCAAGGACGGCTGCGGGCTACGACTGGCTTATGGCTTTGTTGTTTTCTGGTAGTTCACGCCAGCATCTGCACCCTGGCCTTGGTTTCTCTTAAACATCAACCGCCGTTCTCCTCTACGTCCTCTCTCCAGAGAGGCATCGCCATCCAGACCGGTAGCTCGGAGGTTTCGAGAGCCGCCCGTGGAAGTAGCCCCTGCTCCGGTGACCATTCGAGCTTCCTGAGAACTCAATCAACATCCCTTTGGCGCCATCTCCGCTCGCTGCACTTCTCGCGCCCGCATTCTGCGCTCTCCTCCGCGTCGCTCCACCACCTTTGCAGCGACTCCCCGGAAAGCTGACTCACGAGGTTGTTCCCAACTCGTGGGCCGCCATCCACCTGACAAGCGCGCCCGCTGGTTGCCCGTGTCCTCAGCCACACGTCCTCGCCTGCTAGCACCGCCATCGACGGGCTTCGGCCACGTTGGCCTCCCTGTCCCCTCCATGCGGCCGCCTCCTCAGAAAAACGGCCTGGTCCTTGACTGTATGCTCCGCCCATGTAAGTTGCCAAAGCACATGCAGCAACTTTGAACTAGTGTGCCCGCGTTAGTCGGTATGTAACTCCAAAAGTCACATTCACTGCGTACCTATTCGCTTAACCATCTGACCTCGAGACATGGCGTCCTTTCGTCGCCAACTTCACTTGGTTAATCAAAATCATGACTTCGCTGTGTCTTGTCTTGCTCCCCAGTCCCAAAGCAGGATTTCTGTCGAGCCACTCTCAGTTGAGAGGGGGTCCCCTATAATCCAGCTCATCAGGGAGCCGGATTCCGCTTGGCTGAAGCACGCTGCCAGCCCCAGAGCAGGCTGCCTCTTTCTGCCTGTAGAAAGTGCTTGCTGTGCGCAAGTTCGTGGCAGCATATGTACTGTGCAAGCCGCAGCCCAGAACAAGCTCAGGGAAGGGCGAGGCACAACTGCTCTGCTCAGCAAATGTCCTTTCAAAAGCACGCCGCAAGGGCAATTAAAAGTGGCCCGAGTGTTGCTGAGGGGCCGCAGATCAGGCAGTTACCGAATCATTCAGAGAGTTTGCCTCTGGGAATTGTATTGCCTCAGAATGCAAAGATCAGAACTGGTGACATCGAAGTATGTTGCCCTTCTTTCCAGCGGTAGTTGGGAAGTCACAAAGGCTCCAACAAGCTATTTTTGATTGGTGTGCTTTGGCAATGCTGAGATAGAAGCGATTCTGGCAGTAACACGTTCTCACCGCAGAGTTGCATCCAAGCCGCTCTCCGTGTTGGATTTACAAAGCAACCGCCGGAGGACGCTCCACTTTCTGGATCCGGTCAACACCTCAACGAGAGGTGCTTAACTCTCAATGCCGAAAAATGGCAAAGTACCTCGTGTCTCTGAGCCAAGCACTTGAAGCCAGTGGTGCCTGCGACAAATCTGCGGGCACTGAACCGCCCTGAATAAGTGACCTATCCACCGACTGGGGGAGCTGGTGTTCTTTGTCGTGTTCTTTCCACATGTGGTTCGTGGCTGTGGCTCGAACCGGTACCCAAAATGGAACCCTGGCAAGTGGAAACATGGACCAAAACCTGCGTGACCCCTCCTGTCTAATTTTGAGCCCCACCCAGGTGGTTAATTTGCCTCTGCCTCTGCCTCTTCAGCCAAACTCTGACCAAGACAAGAACACGGCCCTGGGAGTGTCTCCCCCCCCCCCGGCTCTCCCCGCCGGTGGGCCTTAACCTCCGATGATGCCGCCTGAGCCGGGCCACGGTTTGTCTGGACTCATCAGTATGCACGAATTCACATCAAGATTCAGTTTGCAAGAGATCTTCAGTCGCCCCGAGTTGCCACAAAAGCTACAGCACCCTGTTCAGCCAGGTGGCATTGCTCTTGGGCGTCGTCGCCGCAATCTCTTCTTCCAACTGGCCACAAGAAAGCGACCAATGCGCTCAAACTACCTCCGCAGTTCTTGGTCGCACGCTCTAGCGGTTTTCGTTTTTAATTTCCCGCTGACACCTTCCAGCAAAAAGGGATCCCTCATGTTTTGAAACAAACCGAGTGGAATTATACTTTGGCTTTGTTTTTTGCAATCGGACCCAAACACTCAGCTGGGTCCTGTCCACTTAAAAGCGCAGAACTTTGTACTTTGTACGACAAAACCACTTGTCTGTCCGCGGACTGTCATTTTGGTCCTTCTGTTAGGAAAGCAGGAAAACAGCAGCAGTTCCCTGGGAGCTGCAGCAAGCCTTCTTTGCATTCTCTGCCTCCTTCTTCATCAACCTAGCATGCAACTCAGTGCGACCCATGCCTGGCCGAGAAAACCAAGTCGGTACATGCCGGCAAGAGGGCTTCCAGTGTTGGGACACGCAGGCGCGCTACACCCTCATACAGCAACAAAAGTACTATTGCCTACGTTCTTTGTACGCTCTGTGACTCAGTGCAAGAATTCTGAGCCCGACACCACTTTTGATAGTTCCTTATCTGGAAGTATGTGATGACCTGCGCCAAACAAAAAATGTAAAGGCAAGCACTGCATCACACTAAAGTATGATGAGGGCAATTGTTGGATGCATCGAACGTTGACATGACTGACTCTTCAATGTTTCGGGTTCTATGTTCCCACGGCCTTGCTGAGCTCGCACAGGATCAAGGTGCCAGCAGGACCAATCAGCGCCATCACCCAGCCTGGCAGAAATGGCTGTGGCTCAGTGTATGCAAGCTAACCAAACGGCACCACACAAGCACGCGATAACTCTTTTATCCGAGCAATGTGTTGGTGCCAGGGACTCATCTTCCCCTGTCAGATGTCAACGGCTGGGTGGGCCCCATGGGCCACCCACCTCAAACTCTCAAAAACTGAAGAACGGGTGTGCAGACTGATAGCGCCCGCCCCTGAGCCGGGGCCCGGGGCACCCAGGCCACAGGGGGGTCTGCCACCAGGGGAAGTGAGTCACCCACCGGCTCCGGTCACGGGAGCATGGGTGGGCCCACGCTAAGATCAAATGCATCTCCATTCAGGAGACGCGGGAGAAAAACGAACTCCTCGCAGAGTTCCTGTTTGGGGACCCTGTGCAAAGGGTCG